TCCGTGCATGATTAAAATGAAAAGCTCATAATTCATAGAAAAGGGGAATTAGATGAGACCGCTTGGGATGAAGGATGTTGGTGAGAGTGGAAGACCAACGGTCAAACTCAAATTCTATCTCATCAATTTCTTATCATCATCTTCTTCCCCTCAACACGTGGCGTGTGGAATCCAGAAGCTTTTTATGAAATAAAGAAAGAGGAAAATTTAAAGGTGCGAAACAATTCCAACTTTGTTTGTTCTTTGGAACATTAGGGATCATGTTTCCTTTTCATCTATTCGTACTGTGATGGGAAAAAATTGCCGGGACAACGGATGCGTAAAGGGTTTCAACAACTTGGCAATTTGCAAAACTTGTCTACTTGCACAACTTCCCCACGTTATATCTATTTTGTAAAGTATAGTTAGAATTTGAGCTTTTTTTCCCCCATCTAATTAGAGGTGATGATCCTCCGAATACATTTTCTCTAAGCTTACGATTTGGTACGAAGGAATTGGAAGAGACGGGGGAGGTTGAAAAATTTTAATGAGTTCGATTTAAAAAATTGAAATAGTAGGGTTTTAAAATTTTAATTAAAAAATATATAAGATAGAATAGGAATAAAAATTTAATTAAAAACTTTAACTCTACTTTTCTAATTTTTTAAATCAAGCTCATTAAAATTTTTACCCCCTCTTTTCCCTTTCTCTCATACCAAACGTAAGGTAAGTTAATATTATTATTGGCCCTTATAATTTGATCGAATTTTGACTTTGATCTTTGTAGTTTTATTTATTGATTTGGATCCTTATAATTCATAGATTTAGGGGAGATTTGGATATAGCCAAACCATGGTTTGAAAAATAGCTTTTGGAGAATAGATTATAGAGAAAAGATTTTTTGAAAAAATGATTTTAATAAAGTGAGAGTGTTTGGATAGTTATTGTCAGAAGTGCTTTTTTATATATAAAAATTTCTAAAAAAGAAATAAGTTTAAATGATAACATATAAGATATATTTCATAATATATGTTCATTTGAAGTAATAAATTTGTTAATATATATATTTGGCAACGTAATAAATAAGACATAAATAATATAAATAATAAAAAATTAATTTTTATATATTTAATAAAATAATTAAATATGTTTTTAGGAAAATGATTTATTTTGCCAACAAAAAAATATTATTATTTCACCGTTGGAAAAGAGGCGGAATGGGAGAAGAGGCACTGGATGTTTTTCACTGTTAAGTGAAATAATGATGACTCCAACTCTTCAAAAGCAAAAATGGGGATGCGTATATTTTTCACTGTTAAGTGATTTTGACACAATAATGATGACTCCAACTCTTCAAAAGCAAAAATGGGGATGCTTATACGAAAACCATGGTTTGGCTGGCTAAAACCATGATTTTTTCTAAAACCTGGGTTTTAAAAAAAAAGAGTGTTTGGCAATCAGGCCAAAGTACTTTGAACTGATTGCCAAACACCCCCTAGTCTAAATCTAAGCATAGATACCAAAACAAAAATTCATTTAAAGTATAAGGACTTTCCATTAAATCAAATCAAATCCCTGTAAAAATATAAGATAAAATACAATGATTTGAAACTACAGCCATCAAATTTTAAATTTGACCAAATTATAAGGAAAAGTAATTGTAGGAAAAAGAATATAAGTATCTTAAATGATATAATTTTTATACTATTTTCGTGAAATGAATAGACTTAAAGGATTCAGTTCAACAAACAGTAAGAACCAATAGCAGAGAGGAGCAACTTGAAATTTTTAGGGAAAAAAGAAAAAATTTGAAATTTGGGAAATGAAATTGTTTTTGGGTTTGTTGTGTTGTTTATTGTTAAGCTCCTTGTGGATTTATCAGAATGCTTACACTTTCTGATTCTCCTGGTCGGTGCCTTGTCATCTCATGTTATCCCCGCCCAAAAGCAATGCCTTCCACATGCTAGAAATTTCGTTTTCTCAGACAAAAAAAAATACAATTAAAAAAAAATCCAATAACATAACTACATAAGTAGTTTTCTTTGAACCCACTTTTACATGTAATTTGAATTTTAAAAAAAATATTATCGATTTAATTATTTTGGCTATCACGTTAAAATAATATAACCACAATTTTATATTGCATGAAAATTTAATATATTAGTTAAAGATTAAAAATGATGTTTTCTAAAATAATTAAGATTAACCAACAAGCTATTTTTTGGCATGTTAAACAATTTCATCCTGTTAAAAAAAGAATACAAATTTAAATTTTGAAAAAGGCAGTAATTGATTACCCCAAAAAATAAGATTAATACATGTGGGTTAAGTAAATTGCGCTTGAGCCGTCTCAGTTCGTTCATGTTGTCGGTACATTGTTGTTGATAATGTACTCATTTAGTCTTGTTTATAAAATATTTTTAATATATTTTATACAGATAAATAAATTTTAAAATACCTTAACTGTTGAAATATAATAAATTTTTAATTTTATCACTATTTATTATATATACTTTTAAAAAAAAACCTATTTACACTATAATAAATGAAGAACAAAATAGTATATTTATGTTAAAAATTTAATAAAATATAAATAAGATAAAAAAAAAAACTTCTCTCCCTGTTATAAATAGGATCAGATGAGTATGTGTTTAGCACGCCTGATGAGTCATCTAACTACCCCCTCTCTCTCCTATATTATCATAATACCCCTATCCTTGCATATCCTATTAATATGATAAAGACATTGAAGACATAATTTTATTCTTTTTTTATTATATAATTTTATTATTGTTTATAATGTATATTAAATAAGGAAAAATTAGAAAGTTGTTAAATTTAATTATAGAGTTAATAACTTTAAAATTTTTTTATGTAATACATATTAGAAATGATTTATATTAACCAATTATTGTGGCTCATAATGCTTAAATAATTTCGATCGAGACGTGGGAACGCAACTCCAAGGGGCCAGGGGCGCCGTCCGTATGGATCCTTGCAAGCCCCCGAATCCGGATTAGTCTAGGGACGTTGTTACGGCTAAAAGAATTTCCCTAGATACCGATGGGTAATCAAAAAAAATAATAATAAGTGAGCCACATATTTAATGGTGTCAGAACTGAACTAAGGAGCTTGTTGTTAATTATTGTCATATTGGGTGAGGAGTATTATAATGAGCCAGTAAGATTCCAAATTTTTGTTTGTACATGTGAACCTGAATTATTGCTTCCTCCACCACATTCCCCCTCTTATTGTTGTTAATTGTTATTATTGTTGTTATTATTATTATTATGCATTCTGACATTGATCTCAATACCATTATTAGGCCCTACCTCTACCCTATTCCTACCTAGCTCAGCTAGATATGTCTCCAAAAACAATCCCAACGTGTCATGTTGTTATTATCTATTTATTTTTCTTTTTTTAGTTATTTATTCTTTAAAAAAATCCCACAAAAAACATCGCTTCAATTTCAAAATTTAAATTAGTTTTATTTCATCTACTTTAATAGTTATTAACCTTATTTAATAAACAAATAACAATAAATTTTTGTAAAAATTCTTGATTTGAGATTTCAAAATTTAAGTAGTATTATTGTGGGATTTTCTTTTTATCTTTGTATTTTCTTTACCATGATACTACTCTACTTGAATTTTGTTAATAGTTATTTTACAATTTTATTTTATTTTAATCAAATTATTGTCATATTTTTAATTATGTCCTTGTTGTTTCACATAATTTTTAATCAGATCTCTTAGATGCCTAATAGGAAAAAAATCACAAGGAGATAATAAGAAATTAGATAAAATTATAATTAAGTACTTGATAAAAATAACTGTATAGACTTGATTGAAAATCAAGTAAAATTATAAACACACAAAGAAAACTATAGGGATATGATTAAAAATAGGAACTGACAGATTAATTTTTCATATTTATTGCTTTGGTTTCGTTTCAAATTTATATATTTATTAATGTTTTAATAAAAAGTAGTAAATAATTACATGTTATTATTCATTAACTTTTTAAAATTGAAATATATTAATGATTATTGGGATTGTATGTTTTGTGACTTGTGTTGCGAGAACGCTCATGATTTTTTTTTAATTTAATCTTTTTTCTATCATATTTCAAAGGAGACTTGAATCTTTTAAAATTCAGGCACTTGTACGCTATTAAGAAAAAAAAGTGGGAAATTTCAACCATATTCCAAGAAATGGACTTAATTAATCTAAAGTTTGTTGACAACTGAAAACAATACAATGACAAGTTTTAATGTAAGAAATGACAATTGATTTATACTAATTACTTGTTATTAAAACTTTTTAATAATTAAATTTTTTTATTGAGACTTTATGGTAATTCTCCCTTAAAAAGAGAGAGAAAGATGGATCTGAGTAATCTACACGCTCATCCTCTCTGAAGCCTTTTGTTTTACACTTCTAATTATAAAAAAAACTTTTTACTTAAAGACAAATTTTTTTAATAGATTTATATCTCATAGAAGGAAAATCACTTAAAATAAATTATAATTGCGCACTCAATTTAAATAGTGTAAATTATATTTTAAAAGTAGGTTGTAAACTCCTACTAATCACTATATTAATATATTCATAAAAAATCATAAACGGATACACCCCAAACCCAAATTGAGGAAGCTAATGAAGCTGCCACTAAATACTATTAATTGATGTAATTAATTCACAGAGAGCTCTTAAATCTTAATGCACTGCAACCCATCAGCTTTTCTCTTTCCAACCTCAACTTTATTATTATTATTAGTATAATAAAAGCGAAAAAGCATCCTCAAAAAGGAATGCTCGATGAAAGAAAGAAAGAAATTAAAGAGAACTCATGAAAATCAAGAGCCACAATTCAAAGTTTAATCTTTTCCTCTCCATCTCTATAAAATTCTGAGACTCTCCAACACTTTCAAGTTCCTTCATCGACAGGTCCTCTCAGAAAATTGAAAATACTGTGATCAAATTTAAAGCTTTATACCATATATATACAGCCTCCTTGTTCGACTTCCTCCCAATCGCATATCAGCAAGTTAGAGAGAGGAAGGTAAAGTAGGAAAAAAAACCCCCAGAAAATTAAAGAACAAGAAAACTTGTCTGGGTTTTCTGGTTCTTCTGAAGGTCCGGGCATGAACTGAGGAGAGATCTGTTTCAGTAAGTGATCGTGGACATGGGTGGGAACCCTAATTTGTGGAGCAATATGCATGACGCTGCTTATGTTCTTGGATCTTCCATTCCTTTCAATCCGATCCCTCAAAACTCCGAGCCTCGTCCTTCCACCTGGAGCCAACTCGTCTTGTAATTCTCTCTTCGCTCTCCATAATTGCTTCCTGTGTCTTCCAAATGTTTGATAGAATGGTTTATTGAACTTGATCCAACAACTATGCTAGCTAGATAGCTAGCTTTCATGGCCTGTTTGGAAGCTTGATTAACTTCCATATTCTTATCTCTTTTCTTTGACCCAGCTTAATCATGCGGCATATCTTCAGTATTGGCACTGATAATTTTCCTTGGGTTGGTTTTGCGCAGCTCAGGAGCACCGGGAGAAGAGAAGAGACTGAGTTTTGATCATTTTGAAGCAAAGAAGTTGGGAAGGTGGGAAGAACAAGTTCTGAATCCAACCCTGTCGAGATTTCATGTCGACGAAGGAATAATAAAGCAACAGGGTTGCCTGTACGGCGGCCATGGCGGTGGTGGTGAGGAATTTCAGGGTACTCATTCTTCATCTGCAGGTGGGTCAGTAGTAGCTAATTGGTCACACATGGCGGGTCCTGTTTCTTCTTCCCCTAGGTCGTCTTGCGTCACTAGGCTGACTAGTAGTAATAATAACTACAACACTGTATGGGATTCTTTCTCTTATAAGAACGCCGACACTAGGAAAAATCATCTTCCTGCTGCAGATCACTCGTCTGAGGTAAATATTAATCATTAAGACTTTCAACCTAGCTAGTTTCTTGATTTAAGCATCTATGAAAACATTGTATTTTGAAAGTGATTAATTAATATTTTTTCTTATGATCTATCTATCCATGTACATAGTGTAGCACAGCCACTGGGGGAATCTGTAAGAAGGCTAGGGTTCAACCAACTTCAAGCCACCCTCCTCTCAAGGTCATCACCTGCAAATCTCTCTCTCTCTCTCTCTCTCTCTCACTCTCTCATCATCTTATTATATTTGAAGGACAAAAAACAGGTATTATTTGTAAAGTTCCTGTTATTATCTGGTTCGTGCCATACTGAAACTTGTGATATATAAAATAGTAAAATACTACTATGTGTACTGCCTCCAATCCTTATTATAAGTTTCAAATAAATAATTTATGGATAATAAATAATTAGTTAAAAATAATAAATACGTTAGAAATATATTTTTGTTTTTAAAATACCCTTATAATAAATAGAAAAAAATGAAAGAGAATGTGTAAGAAAATATGATAGAGATAAATAATTAAGGGTAATATTAGAAAAAAAATGTATTGAATGTCAAGACAAACCCAAATTAAACCTTATAAAATAGACAACATCTTTTTCTAATTTTAAAATTTATAAATCGAAGCGTAGGAAGAAGTCGAGTATATGATGAGGTTTTTTATACTTCATTAATACTAGTATATTGTTCATTCTTGTAATTAAAACGTTAAACTACCTTAATGAAAGAGTGGGTGGCCGTCTCTATCAAATTAAAGACAGCATTAATTAATATTCTTTGTGGTACTGATCGAAGCAATTAAAGGTGTAATTAATGGAAGATGTGAAAATATGAACAGGTGAGGAAGGAGAAGCTGGGGGATAGAATATCAGCCCTTCACCAACTGGTTTCCCCCTTCGGAAAGGTAACTACCTCATTTAATTAAATTTAATTTATACTATTCCACATTGATGACCTTTAAAAAAAAAAAAAACAAGTCGTTCTTATCGTTTCTCTTGTCTTCCGACAAACTGGTGTTTATTTTTTTAATTCTTGATATATATATATATGTATGTGTATGTGTGTGCGTGTGTGTTTGTGTTTGTGTTTGTGTGTGTATGCATACTATTAAATAAAAGAACAAAAAGGAAAAGAAAAGGATGACAAGAGTGGGAAATGGTTTGCCTGTGCAGACTGACACAGCTTCAGTGTTGTTCGAAGCCATTGGATATATCAGATTCCTTCATGGTCAAATTGAGGTGACATTTCTATCTCTCCCATCATATTTTTTTTAATTTAATTAGTCTAATAAATATTTAGATAGAAATCAAATTATAATTTTAAAAATATTTTTAAGGTTGACGAAATAAATATATGAAATGATTTGTTTCGTTTTTGAAAAATACTTATGAGAAGTACTTTTCAATGTTGTTAAATACCCCTAAATAGTACATTAAATTCAATTTTTGATAAATCAGTTATATATTAGTTTATTTAAACGGAATGAAAAGGAAATAATTAAAATTAAAATTAAAAAATTATTAAATATTAAGATAAGTCTAAATTAAAATTTATAAAATAAATCATATTTCTTCTCAAATTTAAATCTTACTACCATTACAATTATTCTAAACAGTTAAAAACTAAAAGCAGGTGTTCTTGGTATTGTTATTGTACGAACTCTGCAAACTGTTCAGGCTTGAGAGTCAGTGACGAGAGCACGCAATTAAAGTGAAAGTTTCATCAATTTTTATGTTTCTTTCTCCCCAAAAAAAAATTTAATTTTTTATTATTTTGAAAGTTTCTTTTGGTTTTTTTTTAATTCTTATTTCATGTTCTTCCATTCCCCGCAGGCTCTCTGTTTTCCTTATTTCGGAAATTCATCAAAACACTTGAGGAATCATCACTTTGTAAGTATTTGTACTTTTCCTTTAGATATTCCATATCCATGAATCGATTAAATGAAAGGATATTTAAAATTTTTGCATGAAATTCAAAAATTTATAAAAAAAATTAAATATACAGTAAAAATACACTATCAGTTTATTTTGTTTTATTACAATTTATCGACAACATATATTTGCTATTATTTTTTATTCACACTAACTTATATGGATATCCTATGGTCTTTGAATTTACACTAACTTATTTTTAAAAAAGAATAAATTATTCTGGTATATATATCTTTAATCTATTTTGAAATCAGTGTAGACAAAAAAATTTTCTATGTATTTTGAAAAAACATTATGCATAAGCAATCTCAAAGAAAAAATAAATATCTTAATTAATAGTTTACTCTATATATGTTTGTTGAAGAAAGGTTTAATATGTAGCATCGCATAAAAACCATACATGAAAACTATTCCTTCTTTCACAACACACCAACACAAATGTGATGTGTGTGTGTTTGTGATATATATATATATATATATATATATCTATTGGTGAGAGTGTGGCACATATAATGATATGGTTTAATGAACAGGTGAATCATGGAGAGAGAAATTCCGTATTCCCAGAGGACCCTGGACAGGTACCCGTTTATCATATTATATCATAATAATAATAATAATTATTATTATTATTATTAAATTTTTGTGCAAGAAATGATAAAAGTCCTTACTGTTCTCAATTTCTGTCGATTACGTTGATTTTCCTCAGGACTTCACAGTGATTTTGTTTTTTCTCTTTTAAAAAAGATAATGCTCTCATGAGAAACATATCATTTTGTTTTATTATTATTTTAAAGTTATAACGCGAGATTTAAAAAAGGAGAGAAATATTATATATAATATATACACACAGACTGATGATTTCTTGTGTTTTGCTTTTGGGTCCTTTCTGTTCCCTTCGCGAAGCTCTTGAATAATGATGCTTCACTCAAAAGAAATGGAGCTTCAATCGCAAACCAGGTATTCTTTCTTTCTTTAATTTGATTTCAATACAAAAACAAACACATACTTTAATTAAGGTCCTTGATGATTACACATAAATATATACTACCTACGGTCCTTAATATAACATTTTGTTTGATTTTTATTTTGGTCCTAAATATAAGATCTCAATCCACTTTGTCTCTTATATTTATGTATTTTTTTTCTAAGATAATCCTTCTGATAATGATAGTTCTAGCCAATACACTTGATTAGCAAGGATATTTTAGAAAAGACAACACATATTTATTATAAATAACTAATTTAACTTTTTTTCTTAATCTCCTCAAATTAATCAACTAGCTCTTATAATTAGAATCAGAAGTAGTATATATATATGGACAATGAAAATCATATAATATTGATATAGGTCAGTTTGTTTATTATTGTTATTATTAATAATGAGGATGGGAATATATAATATGTCAGGAAAATGGAGAAGAAAAGGCAAAGGACTTGAGAAGCAGAGGATTATGTTTGGTGCCAATATCTGTGAGCCACCATTTTGGAAGTGATCATAATAATATCGGAGCTGATTTTTGGTCATCCACTTACCGCAGCGGTTTTTAATTAAGTAACTCCTTTCCATTAATTAAATCTGAGCCTTAATTCACTAATTAAATCCGTAGGCTCAGTCTATATATAGAATATAATTATAAGCAGGTTAAATTAATCCATCTCAAAAATAAATATGTAAACGTTACCCATAATTTTTAGTGTAATCCTTTTATGATGATGATACATATTTACATGTTCACCACTTTGCTTTGGTTTGCTTTTTAATTTATTCTTCCTTCTATTCACATGCGTAATTCAGTTCTCGTAGCTAGCTTCTGCATCCTGAGTAATCAATTTATCCTAGTACAAGACTGAATTAATATGAATAATGTTATATATTGCATTCGATCCTTTTTTTTTTTTATTGCATTCAATCCTTAATATAATAGTTAGTTTGACTTTTAGTTTAGTACAAAATATAAGACCCAATTCACTCTGTTTTTTTGTATTTTTTTTTTCAAGGTAGTTCTTATAATAGCTATACATGTTAAAGATTTCATCAAATGATAGTTCTAACTAATACATATGATTGGTAAAGATATTTTAGAAAAAATAACAACTATTTATTACAAATAACTAAACTAATTTTTTTAATCTACTCAAATTAGTTAACTAGTTCTTATATATTAAAGACTGAAGGTAGTAATATATATATATATATATATATATAATATGTGCGTTCAAGGTTCAAAAATTATCATCATCATCGTCATCATCTAGCATTTTCATTTTATTTGTCCCTGAATCTAACTAAGATAACTTATGTTTTTCATAAATGATATGTCAAGAAAACTGTTGATTGATCTGTAATTTTGGTTTGAGATTTGGTTTTTTTCCCACTAAGCTATTCATCACTATGCCTCCATGTAGTCTCTTGTGAGAACTGCTTAAATTAAATTTTAATCATGTATTAATCAATACTTAAAAAATTTAAGTATGTTTTTAGTCCTTTAACTTTATACAATGTTTTATTTTATTCTCTTAATTTTAAAAAGTATAGTTTAAATGCTAAAATATTAAGTTTAATTTTTTAAAATATTGTGATTGTTACAAAAAAAATTATTTAAGACTAACGATTTAAGATTAAATTATTAAAAATACACTTTAATGAGTCAAATTAAAATTTTATAGAAAGTTAGATGACTAAATATATACTTTAGCTTTTTTAAATTAAAAGATTATATGTATACTTTAGTTTTTTTAAAAAAATCATTTTTAAATCTGAAACAACAAATTCAATTTGATGAGGCCTATATTGCCTGCAGTTCAGAAGCCATTTCTCTTTCAAATATGGAGTTTTATATAAAGTAGCAACTTAATTTTTTTTTTTTAAAAAGTAATTTAATCATCCTCTTTGAAAGAAATAAGCATACTCTAAAAGAATACTGTAGAAAGGTTTATATAAAGTGTATTTTAATGAATATTAAGTCAATTTACAATATGATTATATGTGATTGGAGAATTTGATATAGTGGATATAAAGAACTTGATATATGAAAAAAAAAAAACCTCTTCTTAATACATAATTATAAAACCATTTTTAAAATGATAAACATAGTAGAAAAAGAATTGAGTTAGAGTGTTAAAATACTATCATAGTTATAAAGAGTTTAGGTTATTCCGAAAACATCCCAAGTGACTCAGGATACATAAAACACCCATGGGTTTAACAACACGTAGAACAAAACCTCAAAGCACAGTAACCGCCCATAAGCCCAACATAACATTCATCTCATAAAGATTTAGGGCACAAGAAACATAGGGTGCTTAACTCAGCCCACAAGTCATACACATAAAAGTATCACATACAGCACAGTCTTATGGCCTTCAGCTATTTTAACAGCATTCCATCAAATACAATCATTTAAACAAAAGAAAGTATATGTCAACACAGTCGTGGGTCCTAAGATAGCAATATACATAACATTACATGCCTAAACCAAAAGAGGACTACTAGGCTGTGTTCACTTATGCCTTTGGTTGCTTCCCTTCACGCCGAGCCAAACTAGATGGCTCTCTTGAAAAGCATTGATGAATAGCAGGGTGAGACATAAAGTCCCAGTAACCAAGTATTAATTTATGACATATACAAGTAGGATGGCAAGTTGGTGAAGTAGTACTCAAATATAGTTTAAGAAATAAATGATATTTTAATAGGTACAATCACATAAAAAGAGTATATCTCTCCATCCACAACATAGTTCATATGAAAGTACATATATGCAACAACACAATGAAATATGCCCTCCCATCACCTTACTCTTTCTTATGACTCCTTGACAAGGACCCGGGCTTTTTGTGCTGAGTAACCAGGTCAAAGGTTACCCCACTCACATCAAGCAACGGGCTTCCTCCTGTACCTACACTGCCCAAGAATGGACTATGGTGCAAGAGGTGTCTACCCAAGAGTTCGTTCTCAATTCCAGGCCAAGTAAAAGGAAGAACTACATGGGTCTAACAAAAAGGTCAAACACTGGGATCAATAGTGTAGGCATGCAGTGCGGGCTTCAAGAACAATTATCCTCCACGTAACAAAATCCCAACCTCCACATATTAACCCCATGCATAGTCATGATATATATATAATCTCATAATTTTTCAAAGTAAGATGATATAATTTCAAACAAAGTACGACACATTTTCATTTTTTTTTCAATAACATAATATTAGTATATTAAATTCAACACCACAAGAAAACAAAATTTATAATAAAGCACCACTCAAGTATACTTAAATCAACATACTTCTCACTTCACCAAAATTTGTCATGTAAGAAAATATACACTTTATTCACAGGCATAATTTCACAAATTAACTTGAGAAAATAAAAACATAATAAACACCTTACAATCCAAAGCATGTATATAAAATAAATTAACCCGGTTACCTCTACTTCAAATTTAACCTCACAGCTTGAGAAATAAGAGCACAAATTACAAACTCCGAAGTACAAGATAATCTACAAATAATATAGATACAATTTAATATACATACAAATAATTAACTTAAATTACATAGAATTTATTATTATTAATATTTATACATATATTTACTATCCAAAAATTCTTACTTCAAATAACAATTTTTCTCTACCCAAATAACTCATTTAAATTATAAATATTCATAAAATATTTTTTTATCTAATATTGTAAGAATCTCAATTTATAACTTAAGTTTCTAGTTTCAAAATTTTTCTAATAATATAGTCTTAACCTATTTTACATTTTAAACCGATTAAAATATCAATAATATATTAAGTAACCCAAATAAGTTATTTAACTTAAATTTAACTGGTAAAAACATTCTATATATCTTGAATAGTACATTTTCCAACTAAAATCTTAGTTTAAAATTCTCAAAACAATCAATAAAAAAATATAAACCGATTAAAATTTCAATAATATATCAAACAACCCAAATAAATTATTTAACTTAATTTTAATCGGTATAAATATGATATATATCATAAATGACAGATTTTTCAACAAAATAAATTTGATTTTAAATACCATAGGTAATAAATGGATAAATCTAAATTAATTAAAATTTCTTAATAATAAATCTTTAAATTTTTACAGTCAAATATTTTCGAAACTCAATACTTACTCTATATTCAAATCACAAAATTTTCTCTAAACATTATAATGATACTACTAATATAAAGCTCTAAATATATAGGAAATACTCATGGAGAAAAATTTAATAGAAAGAAATGTTTAATATATTTATATGATTCCCAGAGCTTGTATGACTCTTCAAACTGCTAACACTTCTCTTCTTTCCTCTCGGTCTCTCCTTCTTCGCATCTTACTCTTTCTTTCCATTCCTTGTGATCACTTTCTTTTTTTATCCTTCAAATTCCACCGTTCTTTTTCAATTTTTCTTCATTCATTAATGCTCTCTTCGTATTTTTCTTCCTTCAGTGAAAAGCTTTCCCCCAAAATTCCTCTCCCTCTTAAATACGTTCAGCTTTCAACGTGTTGTCCCTTTCCCTTTTTTTTTTTTAATATTAATAAAATATTATTATTTAATAGTAATAAAATATAATATAATATATATTTTTGAAATAATAACTTTTTTTTTAGGATGTCCAATTACAAATTACAATCCATTCAAAACCATAAATTAATCACAATTACATCCCATTTAAGTTATTGTGGAAAACACTAACGATGTTTCTTTCCTTTCACATGTACTATTAATTAATTAATTATAAAAATGTACGCTGATTAGTCAAGTAACATGTGAGTCAATTTTCAGTTTTTTATTACATCCTTTTTGCCACGATAAAAATAATAATTAAATAAAAATGGTAAAGCTGGAAAACAAAAGTAGTTGATCCTCATCTGCAAACTTTTCAAACAATTTCCAGAGAAAAAAACAAAGCAATACATCTTTATAATCCAACTTCGTAAAAATTTTGACACCA